GAAAGCTTAACCTAAATGCCCAGGATTGTTAAAATCATATCCATTTTCAAATGACATTAGAGCAGAATGAGTGTTTAGCCTGTCATATCCTTGTAATGAGAAAAAGACTCCCAAATCTGAAGAGTTTGGGGAGCAGCAAATTTTTCACATAATCAAGAAACAGATCCACTCCACCCTGTCTTCAAATGTTTGACTAATTTAATGTGTGCACATGAGTCTCTGAACTCCTTGCAATGATCTTGGTCCCAAGAGGAATTATTCGCATCTGCTCCTTTCCTTTCAGCGTACTATGGGCAATATACTGAAGAATCTAAAGTCTAAGTTTGTTCTGAGCAGCTTCGTTGAAAAGAACAGGTCTCAATAAGTTAAACTTTAAAATAGCTTCAATAGTGTCTAATCTATTATTTCTGCTTGGCACTGTTACTTAGAACTAAAAACAAAAACAAACAAAAAAAAATTCAATTGATATCAGCAAAAACAGTTTTGTTTTGTTCTCTTGAAACTACCCTCATAATTCTACTTTGCATGATTACTTGCAGTATTTTTCCATCTTTTTTTTCTTTATTTACTTTTCAGAATTTTTGAGTTTTTCTAAGACACAAGTAAGTGGCAAGTGCAATTGTCAGCCTAGGGATAAGATCCAAACAAAATTATTCTCACTTTCTTTCTCCACTCAAATCCTAATGGGAGCAAGGCTACCATTCTCATTACATAATTTTTTCTTTTAATTAGCTCTTTCTACTTGCTGACACCTGCAATGCTTGGCCCCTGATTGGCAGGCACTGAGCACCTTCCCAGTTCTGCACTGGAGAATGAGGAACTGAACCACCTCTCATATCTGAAAAAGTACCACGGATACATATGGCTCCCTTGACTTCATCTGTATTTATGGCTGCCCAGCATCTCGAAAAAACCAACCGCTACAGTGGCGTTTATGTCTTGTAGACAAAAGCCAGAGAACTCCAGGCTGTTTAGCCCCCTCCAGGAGATCATAAATGCAGAACAGCATCTGTGGGTAATCATGTCCTTTTTTCCTGAGTAGCCATACATGTGCTGCTGCTTGAACTGGAAGAAATGTGAAGAGAACTGAATCAGCTACCTCTGAATCCTTTTTCAAACAAACATTTCAAAAACAGACAATTATGTTTTATTTCTTGTTGCAGAGGAAATAAAACTCTTCCAATATGAAGAACAGAATATAAACTCACTGGTGGTGATTGGGGGAAATTCCTGTGCAGTCTCTTTCAGAAAAAAATGAAGGAAGAAAAGGAAGAGCAAGAAAGAGAGAAAAGAAGAGAAAAAGCAAAAGAAAAAAAAGAGAGAGAAAAAGAGAGGAGGAAAGAGAGAGTGAAAGAAGAAAAGAAAAAGAGACAACAAGAAAGAGAGAGAAGGAAAGAGAAAGAAGACAGGAAAGAGAAAGGAAGGAAGAACTCAAAGCCAGCGTCAAATGCAGGTCTCCAAAGCATATGTTGATTTTACTCTACAAAGTCACTTTTAATCCCCTAGTCCCTCGTTTCTACTCCCCAAGAGGAATCAAACCGAACAGAGAACAGCTTACATTGTCAAGACCTGGGAGCTCGTTGTAAGAATAACTAGTTCTTGACATTTGAAATTACTCTGGTTCAAACATTTTTTGATCTTTCCTATTAGCCCTGTGTCTCGAGAAATAAAAATATGATAATCAGAAAGTACATAATTGGGTTCAGGGAATTCTGTGGACCCTCACTGGCTCTGGAGATAAAGGCACTTTGAAAGATTATGCAGAGATACCTAGAATTTATTCTGCACAGACTATGAAATGACAGATCTTTTTTCTTAATTATACTGGCTATATCAGACTAACACCTGTAATTAACCATTCTGTCCTGAGGAATCTCTTTTGATATGCTTTATTGTTCCACCAGAGATATGGCAAAGCAGCACATGAATATAAGGATATTTATTACTGCAAACTCGAAGGCTAATGCTTGTCACCATGCTGATTCTTGGTCTCCACCACATCTCCACCACCCCTGGGCTTTGAGGCACTATCCATAGGAGATGCCGCTGCACTTTGAAGCAGTACGGACTGGAAGCTGCAGTTTTACAAGGTACTGGACCCAATTACATGTGCATTAGCCAACCCACGCAACTTCTAATAAGACATTTTTGGGAGGGTCAGTCATGTGCACTCTACAGCTCTCAGCACTGCCACTTGAAAGCCGCTCCCGTTCCCGACTGCCCACCTACCACTAGCTCCTCTTCAGACCTCTACGAGTACCCTTGCTGCTGCAATGAATCACGCTGCAGAGGGCTTTCCACCAGCCAGGTTTATTGAGCTTTATTATAGGAAAATATATCTCAGATGGCCCAGCTGCAGCCAAAACAATCTGTCACTTTTAATTCTTTCTGTCACCTCATTTGTAGTACAGCTAGAATGACAGTAATAAATAAATAAATAAATAAAAAACAAAGCAAGAACAACAAAAAAATAATAGCTACAGCAAAACCCAAAGTACATTTCCTCAGCTCCTGATTAGATTTTAACATAAACACCAACACCAAAAGATTCATTGACAAAACATACGTGACTCAGTGTCGTATACAACAGAGTGACATGTAGAATGGTCTCAGTAGGCATATAAAGCAATTAAAAATAACTGTGCTTCAAAGCATTGTATTATAGCATAAAAGGTCATCCCTATAAACATGGAAAGGATGATTGTGTTTTTTCCAGCAAACAGGCAAACAAATGCTTAACTAGAGGTTCCATTCTCACAAGGGATTCTTTAAAAATCTCTGAAAATATGATATATCCTGTATCATTCTCCCTCAGTCTACGTCTGAAAGTAGTTAATATTTTAGATGAATGTAATCGGAAATAATATCAAGGCTAATGACACGTTAGAAAACAATACTGTACTAAATACAAAATATTTGCCCTGTGCATACATACGACAGAAAAGGAAACCCTGGATAATCATCTGTGAAAATGAAACGTCTATTTTTAACTCCTAAAGCTTGCTTGTTTTCATATTAATGCATTGAAGTTGTATTCCAATGGAAGCTGCATAGAGTACATTTTGAGGATTCTGATAATTTTTGCAGTAACACTCTGAGTTTGTGATAATAATATTTATGCACAGATGTAAGGAATGTGCTGACAGATTAAAAAGGAGTCAGTCAGTGTTTGCACGGCATTCATTTTTATGAAAGGGAAAAAAAAAAAGGAATACTACATCTGGCTATTGAACAAACATCTTTTTCAGAAGAGGAGATAGTTCACTGTGTATTGCAACTCCCTAAGCTCCCTGGACTAATTAAAAAAAAAATTTCAATGGATAGGTAAATCAGAGTATCACGAGCTTTTATTTTTGTGGCAATAGAGTTTTCTTTAAATAACTGTCATACTAATACTAAAAGGAACCTTAGTCCAGACAGCAGTGTTTTAAAGTAAGGATGTGTTCAAAAATGTACATTTGTTGCAGAGACAATCCTTGCTATGGAGACATTTTATTCTCCTGTGTTTAGACTGTATTCACATTATTTCTCAATTTGGAATGCTGTGATGTCCCCAAGGGTACACTGAATGATAATAAAAGTACAAATGTAGCATATGACATGCTTTTTTAAAATATGCATCTATGGTATTTGACGGCTAATTCATGTCCTGAAACTTCATATTTTACAATGCCACAGGATGGTTAGAGGTTACAGATAATGTCATTTGCTCTCTGACTGATGAGAGAAACTGCCCTGATCAAATACGTACAGAATTATGTAGCATCTCCACTTGGAGAAAACATACTGATTTGGATAGCAAAAAAAGGAAACAGTCATGAAGAAAACCAAAGCAGTGAAATATTCAAATTGGAGGAAACATTTATTTGGAAAGTTGAAGTGTGCAAAAACTTGCAACTTCACAACAGACTCTTCAGCGGCAGCAGGTAACCACAAGCAGTGCCTCCCTCTTTTGAAGAATTCACCTTTCAACCTAATTAGAGCAGGAGCAGAAAGATCAGATGTTCCTTGTTACTTTTCAAAAGTGACTGGGAAAAATCCACGTAATCAGGAGGTATTTATGATTTCCATTGACTTTCAATTTTCTTGGTTCATCTGTTCCCTTTCAGACCGTTTGATGCTAGTCTATTCTAAACTGTACGTTGAATTTGCTTTAATCAGGTGTCTTTGTAACAGGCATTAGGTCATTTACTGTTTGATTTTTTTTCTGTGAAAATACAGGTTTTCTTAGTTTCAAAAGTCTCCTTTGAAGAAGCCTGTAATACTCCAGGCAGAAAAAAAAAAAAAAGAAAAAAAGAAAAAAAAAAAAAAAAAAAAAGGATCAAGGAGGGAAGTAGGGAGCAGTCCTCTAAATCTGTTCTTTTCCCACAGTAATTGTGGGAATTGTGCTCTGATGCTGAGTGGAACCCTTTTTACCCACCGCTGTCCCCCATCTTGCTTTCTCCTATGATACAGGCTTATTCACTCATGCCAGTTAATACAACTATAACTTAATATTGCAGCAGAAAATTGTGTACAATGATTAGTGGTACATCACCTAAATGCCTCCTATTTCTGGAGCCTCCTCACACCTGTTTCCCTGGAACTCACAGTTCTCTTTTCCCTATAGCATATTTGAGTTTAGAGTCCCCGCCTTAATGGCACCTTATCTCCAGCTCCAAATTTCAGTTCCTTATCCAATCCCAACTATCTGCTGGCCATTGCAGCCACCTGAAATCCCCCTGTCTCAAGCTCTCTGCATTAAACTAAAAGTCCTGCTATTTACACAGATATATTACAAAGAGGGGTCTTAAGATGTTACTGCTTGGAAGTTAGAAACAATAAATGGTGTACTGTCAACAGAAAAGGTACTGAAGTAGCTGGTAGTTGACAGAGTTAATGAAGTATGTAAAGCAGGTACAATATAGATGAAGTTGTCCCCTGCAGGATGATTGGCCACTAGGGAAATAATGTGACAGTTGTCTTTGTATAAAAATAATGTGGTTCTCCTTCTTTGCCAGATCCTATCTACAGCAAGAGATGAAAGAGATCTTGCAAGGGTACCCGGGTGTTCCTATTGCAAATGCTGTGCTTGGAGCTTACAAATAAAGGACAAGGAAAAGAAAAGGTAAGGAATGTAATGGTTATTTGTAAAGCAGTTAAGTCTATTTCCTACAACCCACACATAAATTATTACTACTATAAGTCATAAGTTTACACTGCTTTCCATAATCCACTTTCATCTATTACAATACATTGTGGTGCTGACTGGGGATGACTAAGAGAAGAATCTGGCTGGCCAGTTTTCTGGAATTTGATTATTTTTAGATATTGTTTTAATAATTAACTAAGTATCTCTTAAGCAATACAATGGATTTAGACAGCAAAGGATATTTTTGAGAGCAATACAGTTTTTGTATTATTACCTCTGTCTCTTTTATGTCAATATCACCATTGAAACAGCAGGGAAAATATATCAAATGGAAACAATTTCTCAATTATAGCAAGCTATGTGGTCAGTACTTGTTCCAAAAGAGGTGTGTAGAATATGGAGTAACAAAAAACCACTGATAGCATCAGTTTGGTGTCTAACTAGTCTGATGTGATATCCCTACATTTTTCTTATTAAAAACACCTCAGAAGAGTCTGTCTTGGCCATCAGATCTCAAAACACTCTTCAGCTTTCCTGAATCTGTCAGAGATCAACAGTATTGTTCACGTCGTGGACAGATGAACATTATACATTTTTTAATTATTGAAGTTTTGGCTGCTGACATTTTCTTGGTTCAATATTTATCAGTTCATAATTCAAGTTCGTTAGTTACTAAATATTGGACTTTTTTTTTTTTTTTGCTGCCATTTTATCTTCATCGGCATCATTTAACTCATGAAAAAAAGGAAAAGTGTTTTACCCAAAATATCTTTTTAAACATGTCCTTCAAATAGGCAGCAGAGGAGATTAACGAAGTGTTCGTGGTGTCCTTAAAGGTAATGTTATTTACAGAGAAGCAATTTTTAGCAAACATCTGAGAACAAAAACAATTTCTAAGCATCAGATGGCAATCCACCCTTTGATTTCCATAGTATTTGGGAAAGACAGTAAATGGAAACACTTCTTCATTGTAGGACTTATGCTTTCTACAATCATGTTCTCTTTTTCTAAGGTTTCTTGTGGTTGTAAGAGTTGTAAAGGCATTTATTATTATGTTTGCAAGAATAACAGCAGAACTTCTTACTGTAGGGATTTGAAAATCATTCCCTTACAATTTATTAGGGACCACAGTTTAAAACATTTTTTTGTACCCAAAGAATCTCAGGTGATGCTATTAAAACAGTGTAAAATACCACAAAATACCAGGAGATCAAACCAAGTAGCAATTATCTAAAGTGTTTTTCTGGTATCTACCCAGATTTGCCTTTTGGGAGTGCTAACTTAGTAAATAATCACTATACATAAACAAAGCATTGGCTATAACTCTCAAAAGATCTTAAAATCTTCTTCCAGTGTTTTTCTTTGTTTGACAGAATACTCTTTGGGGATGTACTAATGGACAAAGCTAAAGATCCAAAGAAAGGGAACTTGATCCATTTGAAAGAGAAGGCTGAAGGAAGTAAATGTAAAAATATGCTGGTACTCACTCAAAAAGTGCTGACTTCCTCCTGTAGGTCATCTCACCAGTCCGCCTTTTACCACAAAGAGCATAATTAAAAAGTGCTGATGTTCTCTGTTGGCAAGGCTTGTCTTTTTTTTTTTTTTTTTTCCTCAACTTGTTTTGGACTTAATAACAAGGCAGTGTAAGTTATATGCAAGATTGTGAGTTTGTATCTTACAGACTGTTTTAAAATGAAAAGGTTTCTACAATTCCACAAAATCAAACGAGCCAAAGTAGTCCTAATCCATTAGCAATTAATAAACTTTGAAATTGTGTTTTATATCGCAAGGCTTTGAACAAAAATTCACATGATGTAGCTGTCATTAACTGCTGCAAGTACTTGCAGAACGCATGTGCAAGAATGAGATGATACCCACTTTCTCAGACAGACAGGATATCCTATACAATCCAAGAAATCGTCCAGGATAAAGGCTATTTTACAAATATCTAGCGAGAAAAAGACTAATAATCTCTTTCTCCTTTACATCTTCCTGTTAACTAAACTCTACCTTTTCAAACCTCTGAGCAAGTATCTGAAGGACATCAAGCCTGGGCCAGTTGTGAGGAATTAATAGAACATACAAAGGGATTGTGCTGTGTACAACATCACAATTAACTTACTCATTAAATAGGTAATAGCACTTGACTGTTAAATGGTGAAGGAATGTGTTTGCTAAATGAATTTTGCTACTTGTTTAAAGGATATGGTTTAGGGTCTCATTAAATAATGATGTTTCCAGGAAAGGCTGATTGCAAATCCTGCCCTTTCTCCTGGCTCAGAGACCTTCATCTCACAGAATCAAAGAATCTCATTCCCAGAGAATTTGAATGAGAACATGTATTTTCTCAGATTTGATGCACTGTTGGCCACAGCTATGCAGAGAATAAGCCATCCACAACCAGATGAAATCTGCAAGTATGATATCCTAAGAAATCAAGGAAAGGTGTTTTCTTTCACTCTCCAGTAAATAAAGTTTCAGATCTCTTTAAACAATTTGAGATATCAAACATACTTCTCAGAAGAATCAACAGAAGCATCATGTTCCTCAAAGTCATACTTTGTTTGTTCTTCCATTCCAGAAGTTTCCTTAACAACAAGGATAATCAAGCTTTGACAGGATTGTGCTCTGAAATGTCAGTGCTGTTTATTTTTTGCTCTTGACTTCAACAGTATGATCTAAATTATCAGATCTTGATCTATGGGAATCATAAATCATAGGAAACAGGTACCTAAAGAATTGAATAGTAAGTTTCACTTTGTTTTCAAGGTAGTCTAGTATTAGATATGGAGGTTGGTGGCCCTGCCTGCAGCAGGGCAGGTTGGAGCTTGTTGACCCTTGAGGGCCCTTCCAACCCAAGCCATTCTATGATTCTGTGAAATTTGAGTCTATAGCTCCACAAGTTTTTTGTCCAGTCAAATTATTGTTCTGTTTTGTTTGGTTTTGCTTTAATATTCTTTTTAATTGCTTAAAATGAAACACTGCAATATCTGATTTTCCCCAAAGTTTGAAGACAAGATATTCTGATCTGAAGTTCTGCTGAGGAATGTGTCTAATTTTAATTAAAGCAAACTATTACAGAATGTAAACGCTGCAAGTTTCTGTTCAATTCTCCCTTGGTACAGGCCATCTTATAAATACAGTGTCATCTCTTTGAAAGTGAGACAGACTCTCTAACCTCTTGCAGGATGCATAAAATCCTGCCCATATGTCATGTGGCTGCCACCTTAACTTCTCATGAGACAGGAAATCCTGGCAACCATTTCAGAACTTGAAAAAGCACTTTTTAAGAAGTTTGTTTGTTCTTGTTGTTGTTTTTAATATAAAAGCAAAGCTTCATGTTGTCTAAACCATCATTGAGTTTCTTCTTATAGGATAAACCCTTTCCTCAGTGCTTAGCTCATGGCTTTCAGCTGGATACTGGGGAGCTAAGTGGAAGAAAAGGAAGAAATATTTTCTTCATAAATTCCAAGCAAGATGTTGTTCTTTCTAAAGAAATTACATTGTTTCAGTGGCTTCAGCCTATTTCCAGCTTTCAGTCCTGTGAAAAACTGGCCCAAAATCTTATAATCAAAGAAAGCAAGATTTGGGAAAGTACTCCATCTACAAGACCCTGAGTGGATGAGATGTGTACTGATTTCCTCCAACATCAAGGTGTTTGATTTCTCTTACTTTGACAAACTTTTCAAAAACAGCCACTATTGACAGGTTCCAATGAACATAAGATCTTTGTAGAAAAGTCTGTGCTAATCCAAGAAAATTGATGTAAAGAATCACCTCCAACTGCTGATTGGTTGCACCATGAGAAAGGTGGAGGTGCCTTTCTTGAGTTTCTGATGTCAGCTGGGAAGAGTCTGGGACTAAATTACTTCTCTACATACTCTACCCACAATCAGATGAATATTTTTTAGAAGAAAGAAGGAATAAAATCATATCCTGCAAATAGCTTTTAATATTGTTCATCTTGTTTGCATAAGTTTGTTTAGTAATTTCTAAAGGTACTGATGCCATCAGCATCAGCAGTATCTAAATATCAGTATCTAAATATCTGGCTACCATTCATGTGCATGGGTTTCAATAAAATGAATTCAGCTAAGAATAAAAAATACCTTTTATACAATATATAGCAATTTTTTAGCAATGCATTGATTTAATGTACTTAGTTCAGTGAAAAAACTTTAAGTTATCTGCCATTAATTTCAATTAAAATATATTGATCTGAGTAAATGTTGGTTAGATTAAGTGTTGCCTGACTGTGAAAAACTATTTGTTTAAGCAAAAATGCTACGAGTATTTAGACATGTATTTTAGATGGGGGACTTTTCTAGCATCAGTAAAACTGGTTAGATATCAATAAATTTCTTTAAGCATAAATGAAAATATCCTTTCTGAAATGACAAAGGTGATTACAGTAACACTGGGACCATGCATGCTAATTCAAGTAAATTTCTTTTCTAATAAAGGCATTCAGATGAGAACACTGTAACAAGAAAATACTGGGTAGCTAAGCTCCTTTTGACGGGAAATTAGGCTTCCCAGAAAAGGTATTCTTTTTCAACCACAAGACTGAGATCACCTGGTATCCTCCAGTATCTTTTTTGGTTAATAAAATATCTGGAGGAGGACAACACAGATGCAGGATAGGTCATTGACGTTAACTACATTATTCATGGGATTAATTTTGACTCAGAACATCTAAAATACGTATGGAAATAAAAAGTCTGTAAGCAAGAGGGCTAATACACTGGTCCTTTACTAGTTCCACAAAGACTGGGAGCCCTTGGGACTCTGATCCACAAGCATCAGAAAACTCTCACCTGGCGATAAAAGCTGGAATTGCCTGCCTGCCACTGCCCTCAGCTGTGGCCCTTGCACCAGGTGATAACTCCTGGGCACCATCAGGCAGTGAGCAGCCTGGATTTATCCCACAGTATTCTGCTTGCAGCCATGAAGCAGCGTGGCACCAGGAGAAAAGTCTAGAGACCTGGACTGATTGTTGGATGTTTACACTTTGCAGACTTTCATTTGCATTGTTTACACTGGAATTGATTATTATAGACATGCATTTTTTATTTTATTATTGTATATTTAAGTAAAACATATGACTCCAGGTAGAAACTAATAGTGTTGTGGGTTTTTTTTTTATCTTCACAAGGTTGTTTGAGTGAGAGTTGCTGCCTAGTCTTCCTCTTTTCCTATATGGAGATGTATACAGTGAAGAAATGTTACATTTGTAGGTTTTGTACTTGCCACATGCCCTATAGTACAGTAGCATACTTTGTGTTACAGAACTGTACTGCGTGTGACAGTGCATCTGTATACAATCTCTATTCACTAACATCCATAGGCAGACAATTAAAAGCAACAGAGTAAAATGTTTTCTGGATGTCACAGGGAACAGCCAGCACCAGAAAAGCTCAAGTGTTCAGGCAACTCAGACAGGCACACACTATGCAATTCTGAGGGTCCAAGAGGAAAGGACATGTACATAGAATACATTTGAGGCAAATTTTTAGTGCTGTGCATATAAAGTACAGCCACATCCCCCATACTATGCTACAAATGTCCCTTTTGAATGGCAAGAAGGCACAGCAATGGATTGGTACCAGGTTCTGAATTAAAGAAGCAACAAGTTATGACTGAAGTTACAGAACCACTCCCCAAACAAGAAGAATTACTAACACCAACTGAAATGAAGCAAAATTTGCTCACTGTCTTCCAGAAAGTTTTGTTTAAATCCTACAATAATTAGGAGTAGTTACACTCCTCTACCATGTCCTTACATAGCAGAAATAAAAATTAATACCTGAGCATGTGACGTATTAAATTTTGCACTGGGACAGGCCTCTCAGATTGTATGTCACATCTTAGCAATTATAAGAGCCATTATCACCCAAAAGGAAAAACTAAGGAAGTGTGAAAATGAGAGAAGAAATCTGGATGCATTCCTATAAAGGAATGTATAGATCAGTGAGCAAGTCTTGGGGCAAGACAAGGCATGAAAATCAGCCAGAGCACTGAGCAACCAATATCCCACAAAGCGCTTGGTCAACTGTTAAGCAAAAAGTAAGATGTGAGCTTCAGGGAAAAAAAAAAAAAAAAACACAGATAAAAGACTGATTCTCAGTCATTGTATAGTCTAGGGCTGGGACATTCGCACAGTTCTATGTTATTTCCTTTAGCACAGAGTAAAAAAGGGAAGGAAGTCTCAATTCTTCTCCTTGATGTTCACATTTGCTTGCATTTATTAATGTTCTCAATAGTCTACACGTTGCTGATCTTGCTAAATTGCAGATAAATTTACAGTGCTAGCACAAATCTTGACTGGCTTCTTAACACAAGAATGTTAAGAGATTGCTACATGCCCATCCAAAGCAGTTATTTACCCCGAGTGACTTAACACTGTAAAAACAGAGAACTATCTACTAACCAGGAAATTGTGACGTAAGGTTAGAATATAGTCATCACTACCACCACCATGCTTTTCTTTTTTGGAGTGGGAGTTTCTGCCTGAATAATTAGAGACAAAGTTATCTTCAGAGGTGAAGAATTGAGGCTGCTTTTGAGGCAATGAGATAATGGGTACTTGAACACTCGGAGAACAAAGCTGCTTACTGCATGATCCCAGTCACTTAGGGAGTGAGTCTGAGACACGGAAGCCCCCTTAATGAAAGCCAGCCCCAGAAACCACAATCTCAGCAGAATACAGATGATAGAGAATAGAGAAAAGAAGGAATACTTATATTATAGGATTTACTTTAATCCATATCATAAAACTAGGTCAGATGATTATCTAAGCAGGTAAGGATTAAATAAAGAACAATAAATGCAACAAATAGGAAAGAAAAGAACCCATAGAAGATGATAGGGTAAAAGAGCAAGGCAAACAGAAGAGATTGTACCAAGCTGGAGCAGCAAAACATGCAGATTTGCTTACAGCTTAGGCAGAATTACATATATGTGTAGAAGCCGAAGGAAAAGATTCCAAAAGGTGACAGAGATTTTCAGTTTAACTAGTTTAAAATATTATCATTTACTGTTCACAGCAATAATACGTTGATGCCATCTATACCAGTTTGTAGCAGGAGTACCATATTCCTTTATTCTTTTGATATTTCATTGATTTTGTTTTGCCCAGGTAGCTGAGGTGATGTAGAATGACTTGATGTTAACTTCATGAGCCCAGGTTAGGGCGCCTGAGTCCTGCAAGCAAGGTTTGTTGCCTTTGGGATCATTCAGTCTTTGTTCATGAAGATATGTGTTTTACTAGAAGGCAAGATTTTCTTCATTTGCACATGTTCTTGTTTTATCTTTCCTAATTTTTCTAGTTTCAGTAAAGTTTTTCTAAAGATGAAGAGACCAGAATGTGGGCAAACATTCATGAGAAATGAAAAAAACTATTTACAGAGAAGCTGAGCTCAGAGAAGTGACTATTCTAATAAATGTCTGACTTTTCTCCCTTACTTTCAGGAGAGAGATTTAGGGTTAAGAAATAAAATGACTCAATTAAGCAGCTTAATAATTTCTGCATTTAATCTGAATTGGTAGCTTGTGGGAGTGCTTAAGGTTTACGCTAGAAATTCCCTTGCATCCCAGGGATCAGGAGAGAAAGCTGATAAGATAACATGAGGCACGGGAACAGCATGTCTCACTCCACTGGCTCTGCCTTCAGAGAACATTAGCAGCTGGAATGAGGATGAGTGTAGCCTTGTTTCGAAAGTATAAAAGAATAAAAGTGAGATAGCAACAGAGTACTGCCTATAGTTACTACTACACACTCCCCTGAACACAGGAACTCATTTCTAATCCTTCAATATTCTTTTTCAGATTTCTTCACTACACTGTGGTGTACTCATTGTCAGGTGAAAGGGAAGGAAAAAGCCTTTGTCTTAATTACCGTCAAGTATCATAAAGTAACATACCTACAATGGAGTCAAAGAACCCACAGCGAGAGCGGTGAGGATCCTAAAGGCTGGCTAGAGCCAGCTTCAGGGGATACAGGCATGGGTTTGGTCCTTCTGACTTTCTGTACTCGCTCCTCCCGCTTAGTAGAAACAAAAAAGGGTCAGTCAGTACTGAATCATGGAATCATAGAAAGCCTTGGGTTGAAAAGGACTACAACTGTCACCCAGTTTTAACACCCCTGCTCTGTGCAGGGTTGCCAACCACCAGACCAGGCTGCCCAGAGCCACATCCAGCCCGGCCTTGAATGCCTCCTGGGATGGGGCATCCACAACCTCTTTGGGCAACCTGTTCCAGTGCATGACCACCCTCTGTGTGAAAAACCTCCTCCTAATATCCAACCTAAACCGCCCTTGTCTTAGATTAATACCATTCCCCCTTGTCCTATCACTATCCGCCCTCATAAACAGTCTTTCTCCCTCCTGTTGTGTTTGAAGTAACATAGTGGGCTCTGGAGATGGTGCCTCCACTATGCAGGCCCCAGCATAAGCATCTGCCCTACTGAAAGTGCCTTTTCTGAGGGCAGAATTCCACCCTTCTGTGATGTTACCTCATTGTGATCTCTAATTTGCATAACATAAAATTGTTGACTCATTTCATTCTTGACATCTGTTATAATCCCTAAATCCTTTCTGAAAAATCAGGCAAATGAGAAACCCCTGCAACCATGTCTTCTTTCTTAAGAGGGGCTGGAGGTTCGTTTCATTCTAGAAAAAAAAACAATGTGTGGGAAAAATTGTATACTGTGGATGGAAAGGGTTGATCAGAATGGTTTAACAGCTCAAATTATGAATGTATTTTTATCTTCCCATTACCACAAAATGTTTGAGAAGGAGCTGTGTGTCAGATTTTTTTTGTAGCCAAAACTTACTCTAATAGTTGAAAAGATGCGTCAGGAGAATGAGATAAAAAGGTGAGGCAAGAGGAGCAAAGGCAGCAGCACATGTTGGAAAAAATGTCATCCAAGAAGACTGAAACAAAGCAAACAACAACTCTCAAGAGTGACTAATGTCAAAAATCAAGCTGTGGCATGTAGCTAATAAAGTCTCAGGTCAAAAGGCTGCAGACCTTCTAATGATGGCTATCTCTGTCTCTCAGTTTCCTGCGTTTTGGCCTTATGCTCCATTTCTTTCACCAGCTCTCATGTTAAGTGCCTAGCCGATGGCAGTTCTGCTCAGCCTCAGAGAAAGGTAACCCTAGCCAGCATTTCTGTGGTTTCTGTTTCCTGTGTCAGCAAATAACTCTGAGTAACTAATGCATTCAGGAAAATCAGGGTCTGTTCCTGGACAATTTGCAAACATAAAGAGATTCAAAAATTCAATGAATAACTGACTTGTTATGAATTATTATCTCCACCTCTTCTGCTCGCAGCTCAGTGACTGTGGGCAGCAAGATGAGCCAATGCACACCCTCAAAAACATGAGACAAGTCACTTCTGACCTTGTTCTTCCTGTGACCTTACAGCTCTGGCTTGCGTATACAAATATCTATCTTGGCGTAACTTCAAGAGCAGTTCAGTAAGTAGTTCACAACTGTTGACCATCTGGCTGTTCGATCTAAGAGGGAACTGTTAATGTTAGAGCTAGAACATTGCCAAGCTGCAACAAAAGCTGCGTGGCAGAAGTGCGTATGAGACCTTTTTAATAGCCCTGATAGAAATTATTGCAATTGTTTTATCTTCCCATTTGCTCAAGTAATGTCACATTATTTCTGGTGCCACCACAGCCAGAAGCACTACTGAGGAAGAAGGTCCATTGCTCAACTATTAGACACGGCTCCCAAAAGTTTACAAACTAAGGTTATATCTCCATAGCATACTGGAAAAAAGACAAATTTCTGTGTACTCTCTTGGTCCTTCCTTTTAAAAAGCAGTGAGAAAGGCATAGCCTCAGTTAGCATAGAGTTAACCTGGGGTTAAAAGGCAAGGTAGTTTAAATGGGTTTCTGCCCTGTAGTATGACTACATTGCTCCCTCTCAGTTTAAAGCCTGATAGCCATCCAGAAGTATACTAACAATATTTGATAAGAAAAACAAAAACAAAAACAAAAGCAAAAACAAAAAAGAAGAGGAAGATATAAGAATGAATGTGGTTTATGGGTCAATTTATGTGGTATCATGAGGGCTGATGCACAGAATCTATGTTTGGACATCTCTCCACATTTCTATTTCATTGGTGTCACAGAAGAAAAGCTCCCAAGGGATTTGGCAGTAACAACGTATAATCTTACATGTCATGTAGGAAGGTCTTTTCATTCTGTGGGAGCAAAGAGAAAAAAAACTATGAGAAGAATAAAATCTCTACTGTACTGGAATTCTTGTTACCAGTTTTACCAAACACTAAGTTATCATGAAAACAACAAAAAGTGATAATAAATTCTACATTGTATTCAGACTATGAAAGTCATCTAAATACTCATGCTTTCCTTGATTTAAGTGTATTTAGGATGTGCACTGACTTTCAGCCCCAAGATTGAAAGGTGTTTTCTAGACATTTTCTTATTTTTCCCATAGGGCTGATTGGTCTAACTTAAAATACATCCTCAAAGCACTTTTCCCTCTTACGTATGTTTCCAGTGAGCTTCTCAGTCTATGAAGTTTAGGGATTTGATCTGATTTGAATCTTTACATAAACCTTTTGAGACTTGCCCATCATTGCTTACATTGCTGTTTTTGAAAAATAACCTCAAGGCTATTTAATTAATTGTTCATTGTTTTAATCTCCAAACCCAGGTAGATTAATACCTACGCTGACCACAGATCAATGATTTCTGGAGTCTTCTACAGATTAGCACATCTGTAGTTAAAAGGCATTTTGCCTGAGAAGGAAAGAAAGAATGAATGAATGAACGAAAGAAGGAAAGAACAAACATATTCCCAGGAGGAACTTTTCAGGGATCAATTCACAAGCAAAGGAAAACATGCTATTCTCAGCAACGAAACAATGTACTTTATGTCTGCCACAGTGATTAATAACATGCTATAGTATTTAAAGGGCTCCATCAATTTTAGGCCAAAAGCTGACCCACTTTAAATCCTTAAAATATGACGAGAAATGCTCTAACAACTTTTTCAGACTTGAAGAAGCAAATATACGCTGTTGAATTGCTACCAATGTTTTTCTCCACAAGAAAACCATTACTGTGAAGAGCACCCAAAAATTATGGCAGAGGTTTAGCAGTTCAGCACTCAATAAAATCTTAAAGCTCTAGAGCAAACAGAACAAAAATTTACAAAACTCAAGGCAGAAGGGAACTGTAAGTTATCCTGTTGCTAAATTTTATGCACACAGCAGTTCAAAAGAGGAAGGATTTTTTCCCAGCCCAAATTCGATCTCTCAGGTGAAGTTCTGCCTTTCTTCTGACTTCAAGTGACATAAATACAGAGCTGGAAAATGAGTTTTGTCTGCCTATTATGTCTAAGAGAGATGGTAAATTCATTCTAGAAACAACGAGATAATGTTGATGTTTATAAGCATTCAGGAGCAGAAAGACAACATCCTCAGTTACACTTACTAGAAGCAGTCCTCAGCCTTGAACTTTCCTTCCACTGAGCTGGAAGTGAATGTTGTGATGGCGTTCGAGAGCCCTCAAACCCATGCTTGTTACCTTTGAGGATCAGACCCTTGAGATCTCCTCCAGCAGAGCACACATATAGCTACTCAGAGAGTGAGAAATGATGATTTCAGCAGAACTAGGCAGATACAAAGTCACATTGAGATTTTATTGGTCAGGAGTCTTTGGGAAATAAATAAATTCAAAAACCCTCAAAGCATGATGAGGTTGAAAAATTAAATTTTTAGAAAATCATCAAAATCTTCAATCAAAATAGATAAAAATCTCATTTTTTATCTACGAAAAAGTACATTTTATTGAAGAGAAAAATGGAATTATTAATATGCAGGCAATAGCGAAACACAAGACAGAGTGTATGCTAATTTCATAGTTCAAATAGGCATTTATTTAGCCTCCTGTTAAAAAAAAAATCTTGGCCAAGCTGTTTAAAACACATCAAACCAGTAAGAGTAAAGCACAAAAAGCTGGGGCAGTGCCATCAGTCTCAGACAGCCAGGCAGCAACAGGGCTGGCAAGCAACACTTTCCATTGTATGAGTAGTGTTCAGTAAGAACAGCAAATTGGTAATTGCTATAAAAATAAATAAATGCTATACCGGCAAAGTTAATAAAAGTGACAAAGTGACAAAATAAAATTCTTGATATGATACGGGGGAGATTAAAAATGTCACAAATTCTTGAGAACTTGATTAAAAATATCCTGCCATGAAAAAGGCCATGAATTAATAGGTTGGCCCATGAGGGTAGCTAACAAGGGCTGCTTCTGTCTGTGCTCCAACATGTCCTGGGGTCTTTGAACCACGAATTGCTCAAATTTGACTCCAACATTTATAAACAAAGATTTTGTTCTTCCTTTGCTTTCTTTTCATGGGAAAATCCTGCAGTGTCATAGATGCCTGGGTACCCTTGAAGGGCAGTTTACAGCAGTTCTATATTGGTCCAGAAGCGTGCAGAAAATTGGGGAGCCTATATGACTCTGAAGTTCAGCCTGGAGAAGAGAAGGCTGCGGGGTGACCTCATTGCAGCCTATCAATACCTGAAGGGAACCTACACCCAGGAGGGGAGTAAACTCTTCAAAAGGGCTGACAATAGCAGGACTAGGGGAAATGGATCCAAGTTGAAGGAGGGAAGATTTAGGTTGGATGTTAGGGGGAAGTTCTTCACAAGGAGAGTAGTTAGGCCCTGGAACGGGCTGCCCAGGGAGGTTGTGGATGCCCCGTCCTTGGACGTGTTCAAGGCCAGGTTGGACGGGGTCCTGGGCAACCTGATCTGAATGTGTACGTTTGGTGGCCCTGCTAGGCAGGGGGGTTGGAACTACATGATCCTTGAGGTCCCTTCCAACCCGGGTGATTCTGTGATTCTGTGATTCTGTGAAGTGTTCCCCAGATCTAGTCCTACCTTAGCAAAATGCACTGAGTTAGCCATATCTACATGTAGTACGTAATGAAATTCATACTTGAATGGCAAGTACTTTGCATGCTTTTTTGTAGTATATTACCAATGATGTATTTTCTCATATAGTTATTACTTATTTCTAAAACCTTCATTACACAAGAAGTTAAAAAATAACTTTCTCTTTTTAAAACGTTGATTTGTTTTTCTTGCAGAGAATGTGCTACAAAATGTCGAGGTAAGCATTAGTTAAAGGGCTACTACACCACGCCAGCAGGAGCAATTTACTTCTTATGCATATATTCCTGAACATTTTGTTCCTTTTCTTTTTGTGAATGGGAGCCACTTTCTTAGAGCAGGCGAGGGCCTTCCTCCCCCCGTTCCAGCCCTTTCTTCATCTGCTCAACAGCAGGGACATGTTGAGGGCATGGGCAGTAGAGGTACACACAGCCTGTCTGTGCATTAACAGATACAGCTGCACCAAATAAATGCAGTCTACAGACATTTCAAGCTGAAAACTCAACATTCTCTGCGTGTTAAAACTGCATTAAGCTGTTTAATTGTTTTGTGATTACCAGAGCACTTACCTTGTGAGGATATTAATTAACTAGGCATAAAGAGACCAAGTTTCTCTGTAAGGAGAGAGACTTTTTTTTTTTTTTTTTTTTTTTTTTAAAGTTATTCCAGTTCCTTTTACTTTCCAGCTAAATAGATCTTGCCTGAGAAAGAGAGAAAAAAAAAAAAAAATGGGTCTAAATGCAAATTAACATTACTGTTTAAATATCACAGACCATTTTCTCTGAGCCCAGTTACAATAACTAGTAATTATAAAAATTGCTTGCCTTGGGCTTCTGGCTAAGCCAATGCTAAACTTGTCCTTTTATTAGATCTGTCAAACTGAGTTAATTATCTTTATGATAATAGATGTGCCTTACCTCAAACAAAACAAATACCCTTATAATTAGCTTTTTAGTTAGAATTTTAATTTATTTATAAAGACTGTTTGTTTTGTTTCTTTTTCTGCTTCACAGAGAAGTTTGATTTTTAACAGGTTACTAGTCAGCTTTGTCATTTTTCAGAGAAAACACTCTCTATTTTGACTGAAAGGATCTGTGGTTAACACTGTATCTCCTCAAGCCACTATTGAGCAATGTGAATCTGTGTGTGTGTGTTGGTGTGAAAGACATGCTAAAGGACAAGGGGAAGAAACAAGGCATATTCTTTTAATCCGGAAAGTTCTCTTTGAGCTGACTTTTGAAACAGCACATTAACTGAATTTAATAGTGAAGAGTGCCAGCAAACACTAATCCTAGCTGCATGTTTTCTTTTGAATTCATGTTCTGAAGTCAGAGCTGAACTTCTCTTCAACTACTGAAAATAGAAAGCATAGCCTGGTTTAATATATCTCTGTCTCCACAAAATCCCTTTCAATCTCTCTCTCTTTCTCTCTTCTTTTTTCCCTTCTTATCTTCCTTGTGTATTCTCTGAACCCATCCTGCAAGCCCTCCAAGCAGAGCTCCCAGTAAGAACTGAGGCATGCAGGATGGGATCTATGCTTTATTCAGGATTTCAGATGTATTTCTTCAATAAAGTAAGAAAAATACATCATGCATCAGCAACAACTATTATTTTCTAAACAGGAAAGAAAAAATAAAAGGAAGAGATAAATACTTTTAAATTTAAGTCTGGTGGAAAATGCAGTCTATAGATTAATAAGTTAAGGAACATGGTTAGGAAAAAAGTGCCTTGTCTGTCGTCTTCGTTCTGTCACACTGATAGGATCAAGTTGGACTTCTCAAATAAAACTTTCGTAAATTTTCCAGATCTGAATGTCCCCAGGTAAGTAATGCAGTCCTATCTGGAAACACTGTCAGACGCTCAGCTCATTTATATTTCTACCAGCATTTGAGATGCAAGCATTTGATGAGGTTAACTAAAACTGCTTTATCATGTCTGATTCCCTCCTACTGAAGTAGTTAAACAGGCTTGATATGCAACAAATGTAAGTGGAATGTGAATAAAAATGTGGTAGCAATTACAGTAGGAGGAGACATTACCAATATTTACAAGTTTTTCAATTAATAAAGTAATTTCAAAAGTAAACAGCTTTGCAACCAGATGAACATAAATGCAGCTGTTTGGTAATGAAAAACATGCCCATTGCTATGCACCTTGTATAAGCGTATGAAAGGGAAAAATGGCTCAGTTAAAATCAACATAGATATATCTTTCCACTCTCTATGCACATAAAAGCCACAAAACTTATAAGCACCTCAGAAGTACAGAAAATAATACGTAACAGTAAATACTCAATATCAGAAAAATGTAGTAGTGATAGCTAATATCAAAACAAAGGCAATATATACAAATTTCTGTCTGCAATTTAAAAAAATCTTCATACATTTTTCATAATTCAAAACTCTCTGGTGAAAAAAAATATTTCTGTGGCCACTAACTAAAATTAACGTGATTGAAGGTTATATATATATTTTCCTTACTTTGCGGGGTCTATTTGGCTGGTCTAAGTCATTGTATTTTTGAAAGATAGCAGGAGAAATGAAAGAGAAGGAGAGAATAAAAAAGAAAAGAAAAAGAAAAAAAAGAAATGGAAAAAGAAATAGAAATGGAAATGGAAACTTGAGGGGACTTATAAGTGGGAGGGGGGGGGGGGGCAGCTTTTTCCACAGTCTAATAGAGGTAGGACAAATGGGAATGGATTTAAAAGAGGGGGAATTTAGGTTGGATGTTAGGAAGTAATTCTTCACTTAAAGTCTGGTGAACTGCTGAAACAGGCTGCCCAAAGAAGTTGTGGATATTCCATCCCTGGAGGCACTCAAGGCCAGGTTGAATGTGGCCCTGTTCAACCTGACCTAGTGGATGGCAATCCTGCCCACAGCAGGGGAATGGAGCTTGATGAGCCATGCCATTCTATGATTCTATGAAAAATTTTAGATGTGAGAGATGAAAAGTAAATGAAATATAATGGTCTTGCAACACTCCATTGTAGAAGAAAATTTTCATACTTATCATACTTGCTTGGGTGCAAAATCTTTTGATTAGGAAGACTGATTTTATAACTACTGAGATCCTTCTGTAGTTTTCCATTAGTTCCCTGTAGGTAGCAGGACTACATGTCTGCTTGTTTTTCTGGCAGTAAAGAAGAGACACTCATGGCACATTCTGCTTTTTGGTGAAGCTTAAGCCCCTGAAGCCCTCATACTGATTGCCTATACCTGTTGGTATCCCAACAGAAAAGGCTTCCACTCATGGGAAATCCTAGTTATCTCTGTTGAAGCAGCCAGTACATGGACTGCACCTAGAAAAAAAACATATTTAGAATGGTAAATAAACCCTCACAACCCTAAAAAATCATACCTAAAACTGGCATATTGCTTTTCACTATAGATGAAAAAGACTGATTGTCCCAGAAAGCCATTTGCTGTTAGAAAAAGAAGGTTGATCTCTATTTTTCTAAGTCAAGGTGCAATACCACAACATAAGCCAAATTAAGCTGAGGCTTCTTCAGTCACCTCTCATACCTAGCTCAAAATTTCTTGGTCCTTTGTGTCTGCACTGGTGCTTGTCTGATATTGTATTGAGCTGGTGCAGGGAGCTGAACAAGCAAGTTTTTTTGTGGTTTTTTTTTTGCCAGATTAGTTTTCTGCTAGCTTCACCCTCTGACCCATCTCACTGTGGTGCCGGATGAATACTAGTTCCCCTACAGATGGGAATACGAGGGTAGAAGGGTGTTTTTAGTGGCTTTTGTTCATGGGACAGCAACCCCAGGCACTGATGCTGCATAGCTAGGGTGCATCAGCTGGGTGGTTTTGAATGATTGCTGACATTCTCTTTAGCCAAGCTATTATTTTATCTTCCTGAGAACATTCTTAAGAAAAACTTTGGATCTACATCTTTGTTAAGCAAAATAACAGAAGAGAAAAAAAAAAAAAAAGACAATACTCTAGATAGATCCCAGCTTTCTGTATATCTCTGTTTTTAAGTTGTCCTGATTAGATGGGGTGATTGTCATGTATAAAGGTAATTTAACTTTGGAGTTAAATCACACTGTTGCCGCTGCTGTTTATGCTCACATTAGAGTAAGAAGTCTGAGTTTACTGTGGGCATATGTGTGCTTTCTCGTACTGAAACATACTGTAACACTTCCTGCTCAAGGAACTGATATTTTACATGGAGATACAATAAACACTCTATTGCTATAAAAACATACTTAAGATGTAGATGTTCCATACATAGTACATAATATTAACAGAGATTAAAATATTGTATGTGATTAATCCTAGGCAACACCAGGTAAATAGTAGAGTTTGTTAGGACTGCTCTCAAGTAATCATTATCTTCTCTCCCTCTAAAATTTTCCAAAATTTGAATTAGTCACAATCACCTATGAAATATATGGGTGATCTGGCACAGGAACAGGCTCCCTGGGGCAATCGTCACAGCCCCAAGATGCTAGAATTCAAGAAGCATTTGGACAATGCTCTCAGACATGGGGTTTGAATTTTTGATTGTCCTATATGGATCTGGACTCAATGATCCTTGTGGGTCCCTTCTAGATCAGGATATTCTGTGATTCCGTGTTACAAAATCCAACTGCAAACTAATGATAATTTCTCTATGAACTAATGCAAAAGACCATAAAAGCATCTATCTTTACAATTATGTGACAAATTGCATAAAAACAGAGACCTGTTAATCACCAAAAGGTTATCTTCAGGAAAGGTCAAAGCAGTACTTGACTCTGCTCTGCTCTGTTAGAGCTCATATAGATCCTATACTCTTCTCACAGTCCAATAAGGACAAATACACCACAAAATGGACTGAACAGTGTTAGTCTTTTTTTTTTTTTTTTAATTTTGAGTGACATTTTCATCCCTTGCTATTTCAAAGTGAACTTCAAAATGAATTACAGAAATTTGTTGCGTATTTTCTCTACAATTGGTCCCCTGTGCACCACCAAATATGAATGTTAACTAAACCAATGGGAGAGAAAGTTATTAAAGTTGCAAAGTCAGATCTTCCAAAATTAGGAAATGTCACATTTAAGGCTACAACTTTAACTCAGTCCTTTTGGGCATATGTATTGTGATGGAAGTTTTAATTAGTTTCCACAGGACTACTACTTTGCAGGATGGAAACACAGCACTCATCACTGCTGCTTGCCCATAAAATTCAAGATTATGAAAAACCCTGCTACGCAGGATAAATGTTGTTTCTGAAACATCTGAGGAAATGTAGTGTATATAAATGTGTATATAAATTCTTTGCATTTCTATGTACTGTACATTATTATGAAAGTTACTCTCCTCATGAGATTAATAGTGTCAATTAGGCTGTCAGGGATGAGTGAGTCTGTCATGTGGGCTTTGACAGAATGCTTGGGTTGATTAGCTTCATGCAGATATCATAGCTTAATATTTACATTTGAGTTACTAATGTTTTCACAAATGCTCTTTGAAAATTTTCTGCTCACAGAACTGTATTAATAAATATGATATCTTATAAAAAATATCATATAATATATCTTATAAAAAACAACTCCACATCACTCAAATATGTTAGTTTACATAGGTTTCAGTCATAATTATCAAATCAAAATTAAATCACCATATTGTATTACTATATGAACAGACCAAAACAAAAAACAAACAAAAAAAAAACCATCATTGAGTGATTTTGTTTATGACTGCTGAAGACAAAG